TGGCCCGTTCGGCTCCCGAGCGGATAAAAAGAGAGTGGGCACGCCTGAATAAAGAACTCTGCTTGCACCCTTCCTCGTGTCCCGTCCCCCCTTCGGACCGTGGCATCTGTCTAAGTGAAGGTCTGTGGGACAGTAATCAACACAGACTGCTGATGGTGACAACTCTGGCCTCCTCTGAAAGACTAGTTCAAACTACTCCACTGTGGTTGAAAAGAAGTGGAAAGGAAGAGACTTTTGAAGCCACACACAGAGAAAGGCCTGATGGAACACATTCTCCCAGCCATGCAACAGAGAATGTGTGTCTGTAAGAGACACACATAGATTATGATTAGTAATGTCAAAAAGCATGTTTATTTCAATGCTTTTATCACAAAAAAAAGAAATTAAAAAAAAAAAAGAAATTAAAAGAAATTAAAAAAAAAAGAAAATGTGTGTGGGCTTTATAAAAAGAAGGAGGATCTCTGGTCAGTGCAAATACTGTCCCTGTGAAAGTACAGATTTACCTGAAGTAAAGAAACTCATAACTGTTGACATAATGGCTATACAAGCCAAAGGAAGTACAGTCCTAGAACTTTGCCCAGACTACAGATAAAGGAAATCCAACCAAAGAGGAGAGAATTAGCGATCTAAGGTCTAAACAGAACTGCCTCAATAAATACACAAAGCACTACTTTTGCTCTAGCAGTGCTGGTGCAGATGCCACTGATCAGAAACAGTTTATACACGTTTTTGTTAAACACAAACTGTGCAACTGAAAGCAAATCCCTGTTTGAACAGCAATAAACAGAAATCACACCCTGCTCCCACACAATTATCAGCCAGTACAACATACACAGTGACCAGAGCAGGCCAGTTTAAGAGGCAGTCTGAGGATTTGCTGCTGTACCTCATTAAGGGAGCCTGGCTCAGCACTGCTGACAGGCTGCAGGTAAGGGATGAGTCTCTCCATCACTTCTCCAGGTATCAGATGACAGTAATTTTCCTTTGCAGCACTATCCTTTGCAGTGGACTACTCACAAAGAAATGGGAAGTGTAGAGCACTTGTAAATACATTTAATATCTCTCCAAATTTACTACTACACAGCTTTTTCTGTGAGAGTCAGCAAGGAGCAGGGTCTAGAATGTCTCTCCCCAGTAATGACTAACCACGGGAACTGCTCCTCCCAGTTCATAACTCCTGCAGATATTGTAAGACACAAGACAATGTTCTGCACCATCTTGAGCTTTTGCCTAATGCACAGGCACCAGTTCTGACCAGGGGACTTGGCCAGGGGGTAAAAGACAGCAGGTGTAGGTGCTTGTTAGCATATTACCAGCTTTCAGCACAAAACTTCTAATGGCAACCAGTAGAGGTCGATCAAAAAATACCTGGTCACCTGGCAGTTAAGCTTTTGCTAAAGATACAGGTAGAAACGGGTGTTCCTAAGGGAATTTCACTTTGCATATTATTCCAATTCACAGTCAAATCAATATCTTGCTTTATGTTCCTGCTAGTTTTCTTCATTTCAGCATCCTTATGTCACTTCAGAAAAGTGACATATCTGTATGAGTTTACTCTTGGCTCCATTCAGTGTCACATCTGTACACCTCTCTGAGAACACACATGCACACTTGCACACACTTCACTTCTGTCCCCTTAAATCCATTTAATCCGTTCTCATGCAGATATAAAGTCACTTCCTAGAAATGCTTGCAGGATCTGGTTTTGTCTTTCAAGGTTCAACTTGCTTCACTTTCCCTGACTTCTCTCAATTTACTCACTCACTGCAATCTAGCAGTGAAAAAAGGGGACTTGGGTTCAGCTCCAGGTGTAGTTCTCTCAGGGCAGGTACACTTAAGACAATCTACAGGAGAGAAAGGATAACATAATATTACCACTGGCATTTGCCAGACTGTACAGAAAAATGACAGTAGCAATGGCTCTGCAACAGTCCTTACACTTGATACTGAAGCTCCCCAAATATGTTCCAAGACGAGACCCATATAAAGCCCAGGAGGCAGCCATACTTTCACATTCTGCACAGGGGTTGAAAACCATGAGTCAGGCAACACCTGAACTCTCCATATTAAAGCAGTGAGACAGGCCTTGCAGCAGAGAAAAAAATGCCTGAGATCAAATAACAGACTAAAGAGGTAACCAACTGTGGCACCTTCCTGATTCTGAGTGCTCTGCATTGCAGTCTTCACGAGTTTATTTTAATTATTCTTTTAGTGGGCTTCTCTCATGGCCAAGGAAATATCCATGTATTTAAATCAAGGATTCCCTCCATAAACACACATGTTCTTGTATCACTAGAGTGGCAGTCTCAGATGCCTACAGGTAAAATGAAATATCTGAGATAGTTAAAATACTTAATGAGTTCAGGTTTTTTCCCCTGGTTAGGCAGGGAGAGTGTGTCTAATGCAGCTGCAAAGCTTCACTGGCTGTTCACAGGGTCATGTACAGCTCTGACCTATGGAAGCTGTAAAAGAAAACTGGCTACTTTGCTGAGTAAATCTTCATCACCAAAACAGAGCTCAAACTGACAGGTTCCAGTTGATTTCCCTCCCCAGTCTCCATTAATTACAAGCTCTTTTAATTGCTACATGCGTGCTAGGGTTGGAAACAACTCTGCTGCTCCTTTGAGATTTAATTACCAAGCTCACACCAACAGTGACCCAGCTTGGCCCCGTGCAGCAGGAGCTGTTCACTCTCACAAATGCTGTTCACTAACACAGCTGCTGTCCAGCACAGCAGCAGCATCCTGTGGCACTCAACCCAGGCAAGCAGTCACTGGTGTAAGTGGGGAGATCTCCTCCATGGCTGTTCCTCTTCCCATTGAAGCAGGAGGTTGGCACAGCTGGTCACCCACAAAGCTAGAGCACAGCTGATGGCAAGGAAAAACTTTGCAACTTTCTGGATGGGCAATATCCATGCTGATTCTCTCCCCACAACTTCTCAGATTCTCTTCTTCTAAATCCCCAGAAGGCAGGGTACAACATTCAGGTGGCTCCTGTATGACCCTGACTTCCATCAGCATGCTTTTCCCCTCCTGACATGCACCATGGCTGGTGTCTAAAGCAGACCTGGGCAAGAAGAGAGGCACTGATGGCAGCTCAGCACACTGGAGGCAGCTGTACTTGAGAGGGGGACAGATGGAACCCACACCATCTCCAGGCCAGCCATTTCCCTAAAGGTCATCAGGTCCAGAGCCCTGGAGAGGAATAAGTAGCCCTGGTGGGTCCAGCTGCTCTGACTCAACACAGCCTATAACTTTAAAATAGTGGAACAGGGAGACCAGCTCAGTCCACGTCAAACATATCAAGGTATCCAGAAAACAGAAACAATGCAAATAATTTCATTTTCCTCTTTACAGCATGCACATGCACACCCTGCACTCTGCAAGACCTGTCAGCAATACCACACCCCCCCCCGCCCGCTTCCCCCCCAAAAAAAGGCAGGGAATAGTATGGATTGAAACAAGTCAACACTGCTCAGCCCCTCTGAACAGTGCATCCAGTCCAACTGCAGTTCTGTTGAGAAAATCCTTCTCAAAAAGAACTTCAGGTAGCAGCTTTATGGGTTTCAAATTGCAGCATGATAAACAGCATGTACAGAAGCCACCACAGTCTATCAGGAAGGATATTAAGACCTTCTGGTAAAGGAACTTCAGCAAAAGCTTAGTCAGCCTGAATTTATGATCTGATCCTTCAGTTCTTGGCTCCATAAGTGACTCGCCCTTGGCTTCTTTATACAAGCTGTGCTCATTCCTGAGTGTGGCTTTTAGAAAAGACAGATGGGAACTCAGCTGAGCACCAGCTCAAAACACTTGGTTGCTGTTTTACTTACTGTTTTCTAGTAATTCTTCCATTAAAAAAAAAAAGTGTTAGCCTCCTGCATAAGAGAGGAAAAGAACCAGCAGTAAAAGCTGATAAAAGAATAATTCAGAGCTGTGAACATGGATCAATAAATAAATTGCAGATCTGTTCAGTCACTGCCTCACAGAGGAGAATTAAAAGCCAATTAAAAACTGCACACCTGCCTCCAAATAAGTCAAATGGAAAGTGAAGGACAATCATAGGGCAAAGATTGTCAAGAGAAAGTGGATCTTTCTGGACCACCTTTTATGGCTGATCAAATAGCAATTAACTTACACATAAAATAAATCAAAAGTCACTGTATTATAAAGCAGTGGTTCCGGTTTTAGAAAGCAACAGACCCTCATTGATCAGCTCAGCACAGCTTGCATTTGATTCCTGAAACTGTGCCTGAGGTTGCCAAGAACAGAGCTGCTCCTTAATTAATAATAATGAGCACAAGCTCAGGAGCCTCACACTTATGGGACCCCAAAGGGGCACCGGCTGAAGCAGGAATCTCAGCAGGCAACTTCTAGTCAGTCAGAAGCAGAGGCACAAAGATATTAGTAAGAGACAGTGTTTACAAAAGATGCATTAGTGATCTTTGATGTTTTTTCATAGTGTCTCTACCACTGCCAAGAATAACCTCTTTTTAGTTTTTAGCAAAGCACCACAGCTGATGAACCTACCTAGAAGGGGCTGCATCCATAAGTTTAACAGCCAAATTGTTAATAAGCTATCAGAGAGTAGCGAGCAAGCTCACCGTTCCTGAGAAATAAAACACACTGGTTTTTCTGTAGCAGATTCTTCTGGAAAGGAGGAAAAAATGAGGCCTTTGAATGACCAAATAACAGGATGTAAAAGCATTTACACACAAATACAGAATGAAAGTCCACTAAATGCCCACATTAGGCAGGAATCATTCTGCCTTCTAACTTAGGACACCCACCATCATCTATATTGCATAGAGCAGGTCACTTGTTTGCAGAATTAAATCCACTAAAGCAGAAGTGGCTGATGGCAGGTCAGAATTTTGTCTCCAGCTTCATCCGCAGGGATACACCACCAAAAACTCTGAAGTCTGTCACTGAATCTGACATTCAGTAGTCTGCTTGGCTCAAGCAAAGTGCTGGCACCCAAATGGGGAAAAGCAGCATCTTTTGGTCAGGACACTTATGTTGGTAAGCTCTTCAAAAGTACATAAGGTGCTGTTTAGCTGTTTGTGAAAGAAATAAAAGGTCACCTGAATTACCAATGCCATTAAAAGTAAACGGAAGCTGAACTGGCTTCCATGAAGCATCTGAGGCACTAGGACAAGAAAATCAGAACCATTTTGTTTTTCAAAACTGAGACACCTTTTTTTTTTCCTATTTCCTTCATTTGCAGGGGAAAAGTAACAGGCATTTACAGGTGCCAAGAAACCTTCTGTACCTTTCAGACCCTGCATGAATCACACCCACATATAGCAACAAACATCACTAATCCTTTCCAAGAACCTGGATGGCCCAGCCTGGTCAGGTGCTGCAGCTGCACCTTTTAGATAAAAACCTCTGCACAGAGCACTGTGTACCTTGAGACCACAGGCAGCTCCCCCAGGAACTCCCAGGTCCACCAGCAGCTGGTTATTCACAGCCCTTTCTGCAGAGCAGGGGGTTCCCCCTGCTCTCCCAAGCATCCCAAGTCTCCTGGCTCCTGCCCCCAGGAGTGCCCTCTGTGCCATCCCACTGTCCTGCAGCCATTGTCACCAGTGGCCAATGGTGCACACACAAAATGGCCAAAGGGGAGTAGTTGGGGCCTCTCACCTACCAACATAATGCCTACCAATGGCAATTCCCCTTCCGAAATCTCCAGAGATGTGGATATTTGCACCAGCCTTGATCTCACTCCAATGTGAAGTTCCCTACTGCTCTGACATGCTCCTGAGGATCACAGAAGTCTCATGGTTGCCTTCAGCAAAACCACAGCCTCTGCACAACATCAGCACAAAAAGTGTCAGAGAAGCATAAAAATCAAGAGGGACTCTGGGTTGAGGGAGTGAGTTTCCTTAATGCCTGGCACTGGCACTGGCACTGCAGGTCACATTGAGCATCACGAGATCTGTCAGGTCAGTCAGGACAGGTGGTCACTGTGACCAACACAGAGCCAAAGCACTAGAGTGCATCCAACCTGAACCTAACAACTGCCGAACAGGCAAATAAAATCTGCAGGACATCCAACACTTGGGCAAACGGCCAGAGATTTCCACGTACCTCCCATCATGGCAGCAAGGCACCTTAGCATTGTGCAGGTAAAAACCCAAACAAAACAAAAGAACTCAAGGAACCAAAAAAAAAAAAAAAAAAATCAACCAAAAAGACCATGTCTGAATAAACAGGCCACTCTGGGAAATGATCTGTTTGACCCTTGGCCATTAGCTTCCAAAACACAAGAACAAAGCAAGGCACAGCTCTGCATAGACCTGTCAGCAGCTGGGCCAGCTGCTTTTGGGGTCAGGGCTGTGCCTTTCCATCAGATCTCACCAGGTCTCCTGCCGTGGCAGCAGGCTCAGCTGTAGGGAGTCATAACACAGGCAAGTGCCAAAGGTGTGCTGAGAGGTCATACATGTTTTAATGGAGTAAATTAAAGGGAGAAAACAGAGGTGGAACCCTTATCGAAGCTGCAGCTTTCAAGAGACTTGCAAATAGCTGACTTGAAATGAATTCAGACAGTGTGTTCTTTGTTTCTCCACAAAACAACCCAAACCCCCGAGCTGAGGAAAATTAATTATTCTTATACCTTTGATAGCACAGAGGGTGACAGTGGAGCTTTAGACATCAAGGAGACATCCCTGAGGAGCAGACTTGGGACTGAAAGGCCATTTCCTTGGTTCCACTACTCAGAGGTTAATTCACTGTCAGTTTGCACTCTGCTGTTGAAAGGCTCGTGTCCTTTGTAGTTAGGCAATGAAAAGACAAACTCAGTAATGCCCATGGCTCACTGTGGAAGAGAGCAACAAGGAAGTAGTTACCAATAACCAAATAACTAATTGCCAAGACCAAATGTAACCTCTGACAGGAAAAGCAGGCAAAGTGATCGAAAGTTGGGCTGAGTAAACAATCTGCAGATGGCCTTAAAAAAAGAGAGGAAGACAAAAGATTTAGAATTCTTTAAGTTACGGGCCGATACATTTATTTATAACTACAAATAAAAGGAATCCATGTATTTAAATGACTAAGAGTACTGTTGATGCATGGCAGGTGGGAGTGAGTAGATGTATGAAAATATCCCACACCCGCCACAGGTATCAGTTTGAGTGTGATACAGCTGGCAAGACAGAAGACATCAAAATTAACCTTTGATTACTCCTTTTTTGTTAAAAAATACCTCCACAGATACAGTGCTGTTCCAGCTTGGTGAGGTACCTCCTGCATCCTTATGCTTCCTTTGGAAGTTCAAAAAGGAGCTTTGTGAGCCCTGTTGGCTGTGATTCATTTTGTAAGGTTGGAAAAGGGAAACAGAGAGAAACAAGAGGCACGTGTATGCCCAAACATGATGGAGTTAACTGGTGCCTACCTGAGCTGATTTATTTTTTCAGCTACTGAGCATTTTCATTTAGTTGGGACAGGCAGAGTTATTAACATTGTTGTTCTGCTACTTGTCTTGAAGTTACTGCAGTCTCAGGTAAGTCTGCTCAGTATTCTGCTACACAGCAAACCTGCTGATTTTATGCTCATTCCTTCATCCAAGAGATTTTACAAGATTTGGTGTTACAGCTTTCTCATACAGTTTCAGTAACCCAGCACCCTTCCTGCCCACAACAGCTCCTGGCAAACCTTTTATAATGACATGAGTCAGCAGCACCTTCCTGTCCTTTAGGCTTAAGTGTTGGGTTCCAACAATAACTCTCACTGAAGCATCTGTGGGACACAGGAGAAAAAGCCATCATTATTAAAAAAAAAAAGATCGAAAAACTCCCTTTGCTGGATTCAGTCTGAAAAAAAAATGAATTTTTCTACAGAATAGTACAAAGCACCACTGTCCTGAGAGATCACACAGATCGAGCAAGAACATGTTTGCTGAGTACTATGTTGTATTTCTACAGAGTTAACAGTCAAGGTATAAAGCCCTGGTTGCTCACTGTTAAAATTCACATAAATTGTCATTTATGATGAGTGATTTGTTTGCTATCGGTTCAAATAAGAACACCATCAGAGAACAGAAGCCAGGAAAAATTTTCTAAATAAGCACTATATGGGTAAAGTTGTATGAGAATGTGGGGACAGGCTAACATGGATTTCATTTACTTTAAAGGGATATTTTCACAGTTGCATTTTAGGAGTTATTAAGAGTCTTTTTGTTGTGTATTGGAATAGAACTGCTACAAAAAAAAAAATGGTTGAGTCCAGGGTTTCCCAGAGCTCCAAGTCAAACTAACAAGCAAGTCCCAGTGTAAAGCCCCAGGTCTAATACAACACTAATTTAATTCCCTGAAAAATTGCTTGCTTATATCTATCCTAATTCAGGGCAGCAACGTGTAATTCATATGTTCTTCTAACCTTAGTTCATACTCACTCTACTGACAGAAATGTTATCTTTAAATTAATATGATCACAACAGGACTCAGGCTTAATATGAATAAAATCCAAATAATTAAGTTTTGATCCCGAGTTTGTTCCATGTTAAATATCCTTACCAGATTTCAGTGCATCCTCAGTGGTAAGCAACTTAAACCAAGTTCTCAAACGTGCTCGTATGTAGAAACCTCCTCCTCTGCAGAACAGAAGGCTCAGTGCAACTCACTGTTGTGACCCCTGCACACCAAACTGCAAATCCTAACAAATCCTAACAGATCAACAGGCACCCAACACAACTGGGAAATGAAATGCAGCAGTATAGGCAGGCAACACAAGTGATGGCTTCCGTTTAAAGATGTAACAGAAATATGCTCAAGAAATCAGGCTCATTTAAAGCACACCGAAAACAGGACCCATTAGCGATACTGATTTGTGATTATTTCATCTATGTCATGTATAGTGAAGTTTACTTACAATTAAAAGGGAAAGTAAATACACACAGGTTCTCCCTGAGTTATTTTCTGAAAGTGACCACTAGGAAAACAAATTGTGTCAAGATAGTGAAAAGACCACCTCTTCCCAGGCAGGAAGGATTTTCTCTGCAGGGTATGTGCACTGAAAGAGTGGTTCAAAGATTTCTGCAAGGGCTTGGAGTTGCCAACATATTTGCACATTTAGTCTTTATCTCCCACATCCCTTGTGGATTTCCAACCTGAGCAATCAGTGAGCTTGAATAATAAATAGAGTTGGCTGGAACAAGACAAGCCTGTCACAAAGACCGAGCAGGGAAAACAACTAATTTATTCCAGTTCAAATTACACAGATTCTTCAGCTGAGGTTATCAATGTGTGTTTTACCTCCTCCACCTCCTAACAGATCACTGCTTCTTTCCACTGAAACGTTGCTCCTGCCCACCGAAAATAAATCAGTGCTGTTTAATTTGGGGCTGGCCCACCGGAGCAGGGAGCGAGGAGATGGATGGTCTGTGCCAGGCAAAAAGTCACAGCCCCACCTATGGCTATGGGAAGGTGTTCGGCAGGCAGGGAACGGGGCTGGCTGGGAGCGCCGTGTCCGGCTGCTTGTCTTGCACTGCCCTCTGCTGTCACAGCAGCCGCTCCGCCTGCACCGAAACCGGGCGAGGAAGGGCGAGAGCGCAAGTTTTCGCCATCCAAACCGATGGAAACACGACCGCGCTTTTAATCTGACCTGAAGAGCGAAAGGGAGTAGATCGAAGTGTTTCTCCATGGGATTTTTCCCAGACAAAGCATGTCATCTGGCTCGTTCTTATCCACCCGCCTGCTATGCACTTACAATTAAATGCACTTAACATTAATAAACTTCATTCCTGTCTTTTTCTGTCAGTAGAGCTCCAGGTGCTTTACCGGGAAATTGCACACTATTAGACTTCGTTATTTACCCTACAGACAGTGACTAAAACATGTTTGCTGAGGCCTAAGCAAGTGCTACTCAGCTTAGAGCACTTAGCACAATGCTCCAACTTACAGTAACAGCTGAAAAGCCCCTCTGTAACATTTATCCTGCGGCCATTAGTGTATTTCTAACACCCCTCCTCAAATTTCTTAGTTCCTACTCTAGCACATTCCAGGATATGACTGAAGAAAACACACAAAACACAGGTGATGTAGTGTTCTGTGTCAGCAACGTTAAGAAACGTAATACAGCACTGAAAATTACTTCCATCACCCTTTTTCTCCTTTAAAAGAAATAAATTTGTATGAAATCAAACAATATTACTTTCAAAGATAATACCTTGAGAAAATTAAAACCCTCAAAGCAGCTCAAAAAAAGTGTTATTAGAAACACATTTTAAAGGAAGTACATATTTTTCATGCATAAATACAAACTACAAATACACAGTATTTTTTCAGTGCCCTGAATATCCCAGAAATGCCACACACAGAGCTTTCAACAGCTGTTAATATAATGCACACACAGAGACCTTAACTAATTCTTTTGAAGTCAGAAATTGAATGCCAGCATAAAAAGCACAGGAGAATTATTAGCAGAGAGCTTGTGTATCATTAGGCTTCCCTGCATGGTAATGCCAAACCTGCAACAGATTATAAGCATATGGTTTGAACATCAGACTTTCTAGAAACAGAAGTTCAGATCCTGGCAGATCAGCTCAGCCTGACAACCTTCTGCTGTGTGTCTTGAAGCAATAACTTCTTCCCTACCCCTGTATGATATAAACCATCTCACTCTCCACTCTGGTACAGGAAAACAACACAGCAACAGCCCACAGAAATTGCAGAGCAGAACTTGAGAGAATTATAAACCAGGACCGAGCTCAGAGTTGCCTGAGCAGTCTGAGTGACATGGAATCACTTGGTCAAAGGTGAGGGGAATTAAAAAAAGTATCCCACAAATCCAATTTGTTTGTATAAAGTAATGTACACCTCTGCATAAATGTGAAGTAGATCTTAAGGATTCTCCCAGAAGATGGGGACACAGGTTCCCATCACCCCACAAGACTGCCAGTGTACTGTTTGGGATACGGATTTCCATGAGAAATTCTTTACAGGGCTTCAGAGAACTTGTCCGCTGTGCTGCACGTAACTCACATAAAGAAACCATTCCCTCTCATTTACACTTAATGGATTCCTGCAAATAACTGCTGTGGAACCCTTTTAAGGTGGAAATTCACTGGATCTTGTAGTAATAAAATAGCCTCAGCGAGGTCCACAAAAGTTGCATGCAAGGGATTACTTACAACATTTTATTTAAAGACTGAACAGGCAAATGCAGGAAGATTAATATAATGTTCAAGAAAATAAGGGAGGATTCATTTCCCCAGGGAATTGTTTTCATGCTGTCAGCATAGAATCTTGCAAGTCTTGACTTTGCTAACACTGGTATTATACTCATTTTATACAAGAGGAAACTAAGGCAGAGAGATTAAAGGTAGCATGGGATAATTATTGCAGTTTGTCATACTGAGTAGCAATTAAAATGGAGTAAAGAATTGTGGGAATAAGAGTTGGACTTTTATATTATTGAGCATTGAAATCTATCAAACCAGATGGTCCAAGCCTTTAAAGGCTCATAGATTTTATATACATACATTTGTGACATAGCTGAATTAGTGGTATTTACCATTCCTAGGCTGATCACTGTATACACAAAAGGTGTTCTACACTGATGAATACAGGGAGATGAGAGAAATTTGGACAGGCTTATTTTGAAGGATGCCTCTCTCTAACTTAGCACCCAAGACAACAACGTTATCAGGTCTCTTCAGAATAAAATATAAGTAATTGTTTTGACTGGAGAGGTGTTGAGAACCACATTCCGTCAGAATGTGAAGCTCCACTGAAATCTAAATGTTTCTCGCAAATTGCCACATTTCTATGGAATTTTCTGGAAAAAAAATTATAAGAACACCTAAAGTAACTGTTGGAGTGTCCCACGTCTACAACTGTTTTTGAATGCCTGCCATCTTGAGCTATTTCAGGGGCTTTGCACTGTAATGGGCTTTAAAAGCCTACCTCTGTCATTAAATGCTCTCAGTAAATGAAGGGATTCTCAGAGGCTGTGATGGTGAAGTATTTTAAACAGCTTAGAAGTTTTCAGACTGTGCTCTGCTTTGGCATAACCAAATTCAAAATCATTCTTAAAACAGAGTTTCTGGTCAATTACTTCTGCCTTCAGCATCTTACTAAGAACTCCCACTGTATTCAGTGAGGATTTGGAGTAAGCATGTATTGTACTAGACCAGAGGGCTCTTACTGCCTGTGGTTTCAGAGAAAACAACTAGAAATCCTAACAAAAACTCACCCTTTGAGCTTTCAGATTGAGTGATCAGCACTAAATACTTGAGTAACTCATTTTTAGAGATGTAGCATTTATGTTTAGTGCCCTCTGCTAAAAGCCAATTCTTGCTTGAAACAGCAGCTAATATCCATAACCCAGCGAAAGCAGAACTGCAGAAATCTGGTTGATGCTACCTGTGCTTCAATATTAACTTGTCTTGTGGTTCAGCTGCCTTCAATTGTGCTCGTAAAACCCCAAAACACTTCTATAGAAGGAAAGGTGCCGAGGGTGTGGATTCTGACTTGCAAAAGAAGGGAAACGTCTGAAATTTCTCACCCTCTATCACTTTCTCCTCACATCTAACAGTCTGCCCAGTGGCAATAATGCAGGTCTGCTCCAGGGTCAGGAGACCACTCCTCTCAGTCCCGTCAGCAGAAGATTGTTCACTGCTGCCAGGAAGCCTTTCCCTGGATGAGAGTGTGCAGGGAAGACAGGGAAGCTGTCAATCACAGCTTTTAGGGACATTACTTACATAGTCATTGCACCAGCTGTTTAAGAGCTGATGATCACACTGACAGGATTAGACATCACTGTAACACAGTCTTGTCCACCAAGTAACAAAGAGCACACTAACCCAGCAGAACAAGGCAGGAGGATCTAAAGTATCTACCTACCTTTCGGGGCCTTGAGGAAGGCACCTAAAATGTGTTTGGGCTTGGAAACTCTATGCAGGAGATCTCCCCACTCCCAAAACCCATGAAAATTTTCAAAAGTCATCTTGAAGCTCAAAATAAAATCTCAGGTTAAGGATTACAAGTGTCTGCCTGCATCATATTTAAAATATTCTTACTTCAAACTACAGGATTATCCTCCCTTTACAAACTCCCAAATTTTGATTGTAATTTCAAAACTTGAGCTTCCATCCACTGAAACTTGCCTGATTAATTAACAGAGCAGATTTCCTTTCATCTCAAGAAGAGTAAACCATTCAAACCATGGACAGAATACTGACAGACAATTAGGAGCTTACATGTATGCATAAATTGTACTGATTTGGACTTGTGCGGGGAAATAACATTCTCAAAGTAACCTCTTATAATAATGACTTTAACTAGTTAATTACATAAAAGAACTATTAAATACTCTTCTCAACTGTGCACTACAGGTGACATGACATACTTTAAGAACTAGCCACATCAGTCCATGCTTGTCTGGAATCAACATATTAAAAATGTTTAGTCTTTTTTTTTCTCCTTTTCTTTTGTCTTTAATAAATAAAGTCTCATGCTAAAACCCACAAAGTCTGTGGGAGAAAGACAATTCCATGAAAACATTGTAAGCATAAGCATAATCTCCTTCTCTCCCCAAATTTTCTGTCTACATTCTGAGCAATGACTTAAAATAACACACAAGTGAAGAGTCAGGAGAAAGAGATACTTATTAGAATTATGACTTTTATTTTTATTCACTAGAGCAACATTGAGGAAAGAATTTTTACATACAGGTTTTCGAATCAACTTTACAAGCAAATTCCAATATACAGTATTTACTCTGGCCTGGGTTAAAAAACCAAAAACAAAGCAGATAGGAAGAGTACCTCTTGTTTTAGCTATTATTGAATTTAAGATTTGGTTACACTGGAATTATATTTGTTTTACGGTGGTGCTTTTACAATTAAGTAGGCAGTGAGCAGCTTTACCACAACAGTGACTGATTTTCCTTGATAGCATCATTGTAAGATGACTATACTGAGACCTACCACCAGGATCATGTATTAAATCCACTCTGCTCAGAAAAAGCCTCTGTAACGAGATAAGGAATAGCTACGGAAGCCCAATTCAAGAACTGATTTCCATTTGTACAGCAAGAAAACGTCCATATTAAGAGGATTATGTGCTGTGCAAAACCAGAAACACTTCCCCCCCAACATGCAACCTACCCAAGTATGACACTTTAGAATGTGCATATGGTTGTGACATGCAGACAAAGGAAATCACGCAAATGGTACTCAGCTTTCCAGCATCATTACAACAAATTGGCATTTAGATCAAGGATGAAATGAAGTTTACTGAGCAATGATGCAGTCTACTTGCTATGTGCAGTCTCACTGTTACAAGATGTAAAGTTGAGGAATACACTTTTTTTGGAACTGTATCGAAATTCAGCGTTGTTTTGGATTTTCAGGGCCTTTGTGATTATTTAGAGAAAGTCTGAGATAATATTGCACTTCTTTTCTCAAACAAAAACATGGGCTGGGGCCGTTATTCTTTCAGAGCTATGCTAGTCCTGGGGAATTTTAGCCATGGCCTTTGATTGGCAGTAGGAAGTGCTGGCTTCAAGGAAGGGGAAGGTAATAATAATCTGGCTGCATCTTCAGTGTTAAAATTCCACGGTTAAATTAAAGTCATTGCACAACAAAAACTCAGTACACTATATGAATATTTTTTAACATGCTAGAGTGCGTATCGATTCTGTGAAAGTGATGTGAAAATACCTTGGAAACAGCAACACTACCGGGGAAATTGGTTTCAAACAAAAGCCACACACAGCAGGAGGCATCTAGATTATTTTAGGCACAACTCCAAGCAATAAAGCTCATTTAAAGTGCAATTCTGTTCTTTTCTTTTGTGTTTATTCACTTGTTAAAACGCGTAATTGCCTCTGTACACACATACTGAACAGTAGTTTAATACTTTTGTGAATATTGCACAAAAGAATGAGAAATCAAAAACAAAGAAAAATGGCAATACATCAGTTTCACAAACCTAAAAAAAAAAAAAACCCTGAAGATATCAAACACTTAAATTTATGCCTTTTGGATAACTGCACCAGTACTGATGATATATCTGCACCTTCCATAAGGTAGATACGTTACCTGAAAACACTTAATCCCGTCTGAGAAGCTCTACTCAGCACCCTCTCACCCATCACCCCCCAAACCCAAGTGAAGCTCCAAACTTCACTTCACCACTACTCTTCCAGCTGCCCATCTCCTGACAGGCTTTGCTCATACTCTGGACTTACTATACATGCAACAGAGCCTTCCCTGGGAAAGTCTGAAGAGCCAAAACATGGAGTTGTCTTTAGAGGGATGCGAGGTTAGCAGCTGAACACAAATACAAGTCAGGCTAGCATCTGTCTCATCCATGAGCAAATCCTGCTGTCTCCAGCTCATCATCTCACTAATCTGTCAGAACAAAATGGGGAAATGCTATAAAAAACCCACTATAATCTACTTATGTTCCTTTAACATAGACACCCCCACCCTTGTATAAATATAACCTTTTTCTTCTGGAAAGAAAAATTAAGAACTACCTTTTTTATGAAAACCTTGATCATCTCAATTTTCTTTGCTTAATTTGCTTTGATCACACTCTCCTTAATTTTCAGTAAAGGTGCAGATAGATAAGATATCTATACTTTTAATGTAAACATAAAAATTTTAACATCACTAGATCAAGCTGGCGATACCTCCAGAATAAGATGCAAAAGAATTCAGGATGAAATATCTCTGTCAATACCATTAAATGAAAATCATATTTTTACACAAAATCATATACATGTAACAGTAAAATCGGGTTGTCTTCAAGAAAAGTAAACTTAAAAAAAACACCTTCCATCCATAGAAATCTACATGGACCAGAAAACAAACCAGGAATCTGATCATTCCCTCAGCAGTCTTTAAACTCCTGAGAAACACAGTTAGCTGCCAGGAGCTAGTTTTGGGGAATATAAGTCAGTTTTATTTTCTTATTGGAAGCAAATACTTACACTAAAGGACATCCAGTTCAATGCTTTTCAAGGAAATAAATTATTCCAGGAGAATAATTGTTACTGCAATCTCAAACTGTAGTTATTTTGATCCTATACCAACCGTAACAATTAACATTACGCTCCTTACGTCTTGATTACATTGTCTTCGTCACAGTTCCCAGAAGGTCCTGCAGGTCCCTTATTTCAGATTGATATAAGTAGTTCTGAAATGGAACTTCCCCCCTACCCCATTTTCCCCCCAGCCTTTTAATTTTTCCACTTCATTGTCAGTTAAAAAAAAAATTAGTGTGACAAATTCAAAAACTTTCTTGAATATTAGCTATGCATTGAAAGCTCAGATGAGTGTTTTTTTTCCTTCACCAAACTGAGGTTTCCATCAGGATACCCCTGGTTAAAGGACAGGAAAAAAACCCCCCCACCCAACCAGTAACATCAAAGAGAGTCATAGGAAAGAAGGGAAGAATTGTAGATGGGACATAACATCAAATTTCTGGAAAGCTTCACTGGATATGTATATGTTTAACTCCCATGACATGTCATGGTCCCATAGTGCACCATGATGGGCATATACTTCCACACTACTTTCAGAAAAAATACTTCTCCTAAAGAGCACAAAATTATTTTTTTTTTTTTTGCTTTATTTCCCCAAAAAGCTCCTTCCCAGTTATCATGCACTTCTTCAGAAATTACAAAAAAAAAAAAAAAAAAAATTACAAAAACCCAAAACCAAAATACACATCTCTGAAAAACTCTTAAGAGTACCAGCTCTGGATTAGGACATAATAGGATTGCTCAAAGCAAATAAGTGGGGTTAATTAATTTTTTTTTTCCTTTCTTAAAAATAGTTGCATTTTTAATACAAGTTTTATTCTGTAAAATAGTTTCAAATTCTTACACATATGGCAAAGTTTGTGCAAAATTTCAAGTCAGGTACTTCAGAGCCTTTCGATATTAAACAGAACTCAATAAATACAAGTAATACAATAAAAGTTTAAAATATTAATTAAAATGCATGTTGTGCAACCTCAACATAGGTGTTATGGACCCCATATTCCCAGAGGCTCCCTACTTATCAATTCATAAGAGCCTGCATTGGAAGGTTTTGCACAAGTATCCTTTGCACTGCGTTTTAAGAATCTACCCGGTAATGTGTCCATTCAACACAATAAAAACATACCACAATCTTTTAACAAATGATGATGTTTAAGCGAGAAGACTTGTTTCACCCTGTGAAATCTGCTTAATGTCAGTGAACAGTGAAAATGGGATAAATAAAGAACAGAGCAACTTCAGATTACAGCAAAACGAAAACAACACAACCCACCCAACCCATCAGATTAAATAACATTAAATATGTCAGTCTTGAGATAATGATAAATACAAGGATTTTTGCATAGGCCTCTGGAATACAGAGTCAGAATTATGGCCAATAAAACATCTGCTAGTAAGTCTAACTTTCCACCACTCTGACCTAACGAGTACTCAGAACCAAGAAGTTAAACAGAACAGCAATTTCATTGTCTAATAACTCAAAGAAACAGAGGTAAGAAATAACTTCTGCCATCCTGAAATAGGTAGTGCAGCATTCTGGCATTTGTGGTCACCACAGACTTCAGCATTTGCTTAATTACTAAGACCGCAGTACAATCTTTATTACAGACTTACGAGAAGATAGAACACTCTCAAGAGAAACTGCACAGCTCACAACATCAGCCTCAGAACGTCGCAGGGTGGAGTGTGCAAATCCTCAAAAGAAGTTGCTGTTTTGAATGTGGACTCGGGATTTGCAGGCTGTGGGTCTGGCAGGCTCGAAGGCAGTCGCGACACAGGAAGTGGTTTGTTGTGTGGCATCGTTGGGTGAGATGTAGGTACGTCCTCAGTGTGTCTTTGGTTTAGGGAGGCGGGAATGCCGGCTGGAGGGCACACTGTCCCCAGAATGCAAACTGGTGGGGTGCGTTTGCACATTTTCCTTTCTCTGTACCAGTGGCTTTGGGATGTTAGACTTCAAAGAGGTGTTCTGAGGCTCTGGAGATAGTGGTGTGGATTTCTGACCGCTCACTTGCTTAGCTCTAACAAAGGACATAGTTGGTGGGCGAAGTTTAGACACTTTCTGACTCTGTTTACCCTTTAGGTTATCCTGACCAGATGTTGGCTGTAGCTGAGTTGAACTACTTAGTGGTAGAAGCTCACGTTCCTTGGAAGCAGCGGAATGATTTGCAGATCGTATGAGAACGGCCATTGTAGGAGGCACTAAAGCATTTGGGGGCTTTGCGATTCTTAAAGTCTTTGGCCGAGAAGCCTGGTTTGTGAACGAGGGCTGACCTTTCACAGGTAGTTCAGTCTGCACCTCTCTGGCATCAGCTCGTGTAGAGGTCTGAAAACGGGAACGAGATGGCAATGTACCTTCTTTATTACTCATCACCTCTCCAGGGTTTTCAGTGTTTTTGTTTTTCAAATTGTCCAAATATGATGCATTTTCATCTTTTATGTTTAACTGTAGGCTTGTTAAAGAGTTTACATCATTCAGGCTATCTGGGAGAGAGACATTTGCAGCATTTGGATTCGGATGATTGCTACTTTCATGCAGATCATGTGTAGGATATTCACTGTGGGCCTCGATATGTGGCATTTTTACTAGTTTTCCCTGGGCGAGGTCTGTGGAACTGGGAAGGCTGCTGGAAGGCTGTAGTACTTGAGGCTGTTAAAGAGAAAATAATACAAGAATATATTAGACCAAGAAGACACCAGATAACATTCTGAATCCAACGTGTGCTGGCTGGATGTTTGATAAGGGCTGTACATCTGGTCTTTTTAAATCAAAACTTTGACTTCGGCAAAACAGGATGGTTCATGGGACGCATACAAATGGGACTTGTAACTTAAGGGGAAAAAAAATATATCAGCACTGAAATAAACAACAACATAAAAGACAAAAAAGAAACCAATAACCTTAAAAAGGAAACATGAAAAGGCATGGTTGATGGTTTCACCTAAGTCTGCAGGACAGACCGCTGGTGCAGATCAATTCTCACTGGAGTGCTCAAACCAACACTACAGCTATCAGGCTGTATCCATCTTTTAATTTTTATTCGGGGCACACTGAAGTTAACTATCCCAACCCTTTTACTGCACAGGCAGGAAAGGTGTTTAATGGACCACATGAATTTATAGGGCACTTTTCTTGCCTTAGTGAGGCCAGAAAATTTGATGCAACTGTGTGGTAATCAGGCTACTGACTAGGCTTAGGGAACTGTTTTATCTTGAATTGATTTAAAATGGGCTGATAAAGGAACAGAGTACATGTGAAACTAGAGATCACATACTACTACACTGATAACCAAGGGATAAAGATAACTGAATGAAAAGTTTTTACATTTGATCAGAAGATACAATCTGATCAGACACGCATCAGACAAGAGAACTGCCGGTACCTCTTCTGGGTCATTTCTATTCTCTTTGCTCTTCCCTGTAAAAAGACTTAAAAGATTAATGTGTGCACTAACTTCACAGCCACATCCTAGACCTCAAACTTGGATACAGATCTTGGAAGCATTATTAAAACTTCTGCAATTCATGGCAAAACCCAACACCTATTAAAACTTAAACTACAGTTTAAGCAGATTTGGATGATTTTCTCATTTTCTTTAAAAGGAGAGGAACAGAATTACTACAAATTGTTATCACTCAACTACTTGAATTCTTAGCAATTGACAGATTGCATGTACACAGCAAACAGGCTTATTCTGATTGTTTACTAGAGAAATACAGCCAACAAAAAAGAAGCAATGTTTGCGTCTGAGAGATTTGACTAACAGCGTCACTTCAGTCACTTTCCTGAATTGTTCACAATTTCCAAATGAGAAAACCAATTATTTGTCTGGTCCTTTCAGCTCTTCTTAGAATCAGCAGGAGGAATGCAAAGATAGCTGTGCATGCCAGACTCCTGTTACATTTCTAGGGTCATAATATGTCTCAGGGTTCTTTAAACTTTTCATCTTTTCCGTGGTAGGATTACTGACAACTGAATCCTCAAAATTCCTCATCAAAAAGTTTAACAGTAATGTGAGAAAAATCAAGGTTTCTCAATCTACTTTTTATTTAGTCAAAGTTTTTCCCTTTAGAATATACTGGTTCTACCTGTAAGCAAAGGCAAAATCTAAGCTGAACCAGTGACAGGCACATAAGTGCAAACATCCTGGACTGTCTGAACACAATTGTTTTGGAAACATGAAGAAGATTTAAAAAAAAAAATAAAGCAAAGCAGCCTCCAAAATGGTGCCAGATGAGTATCAAAACATCATTCCTTACATGACCCAAAACTAGCTTAGCTTTATGAATCCTTCTTAACCATACGTGATCCTAAATGAAGGAAGTACTAAGCACAAGGAATATTCAATATATTGAGTTACAGCTTAAATAAAATTAATCCTCCAGATATTTTTGTCATTTTCCAGTGTTTATGTAATGGGTTACAGGAGTTATTATGCTTCCAGCCTAGGAGCTAACAGGCAGATGTTAGCCAAAATTATTTACTGATTTGAGATCTCATCTGTAAAAACCAAACTGCTAATAATGAGCGCAGAAACCAAAGGAATATATACCTGATTCCCATACAAATACTTCAACAAATAAATCAAATTTTCTAATCCTACTTGAAGTAAAAAATTAAGATACTTATAACAAACACATAAGTGCCAAATATGGAAATATAATTGTCAGAAACCCTTTTCCCCTCACCTAGAAAGGGTTTCTAAATGCCAGTCTTCAAAAACACAGACAAATATCTAATCTGAGCATTACGAATCCTAATTTTATATCAAATAATCCTAGTTATACTGATCAACAAAATGAAAGAATGTGTAAGTTACAGAAGAAACTAAACTTGTATGGAAAGTTGAGTTAAACACAAACACATCTGAAATAGAACAAAGCAGCAAGCTTTCAGTAATGCTATTTCGAGTTCTTTTGACAAGACTAAGTAGTATTTGAGCTTTTCCCTCTGGGTAACTTTGCATTTTACATATAAAAACAGCCAAATACATGTTTTACTCGTTATCCTTCATAACCTAAAAAAGTCTAAGCAGCTTAATATGCAGAAAGTTAGCAATCCAAAGGTAGAAAACAGCTACATGCTCTGAATTATGACACTAAAGCTCTGCTATCACCTTTGTGAAGTTGTTTTAGAAACACTGTTTTTTAATTTTGTATTTCTACTCTAGCTCTGTCCAATTATCATTAGAGATTTTAATCTTTTCAAATTGCTACATACATTAACATTCAAGATGACACTGAAAGCAGCAACATGCCACTTGCACAATATGCAAGTAACAGTTCATGAGGTATCTCACACTGACAACTGCACTACTGTCACCCACAGCTCACAGCTTTGTCTTATACACAAGTTTTCCTTTTATTAAGGAAGTCTTAGAAATTATGTTTCTAGTAAAAAAACCAAAAACAACAAACAAACCAAGTCAGTTGAAGGATTAGTACTTGATGAATTCCATCACAAGAAGGAGGAGAAAAGATAAAGAAGCATTCTACCTTCCAGGTATCGTATTTTATTTCATGGAAGTCTTAAAAAAAGGTTGCCATCTGCATTGCTTTGAGTGCACTTCTGGCAATATTTTTGGGTTGGGACAGACCCCACAACTGCCGTGCTAACCTGACTTCTTTTTGTGTCCCACAAAGAAAACGTGCAGGTGGACAAACACCTGCATTCCTCTGGGATGCTCCTACTATGCAAATTTGGACTTAAACATTTCAAGTACAATTGAACTGAAGAAAAGGAGTTTTCCCCAGCCTGAAAGAACATTACTGGAACAGGCTCCCCAGGGCAGTGGTCACAGCCCCAAGGCTGACAGAGTTCAAGAAGCATTTGGATGGCACTCTCAGGCACAGGGTGTGACTCTTGAGGATGGTCCTGTGCAGGGCTAAGGGTTGATCCTCGTGGGTCCTTTCCAAGTCAGCATATTCTAGGATTAGACAAAATGCTTTTTGCACATACTCCTTTCTGCACAAAGAAACAGATTTTTCTGTACTGGCAAGAGCTTCAAAGCCTTGCAAATATTGACACACTAATCAAAATTACTCAATTACAGTCCCTACCTCAGTAGCTTAAGAGATTTTTCTATTATTTCTATCAAGTAAAACTGGCTGTTACACCATCCAGAGAACAATGACATCCATGATGAAGATTACCATTACTGCTCAGTTATCAAACTACTGAGACTGTATTAGCTTTGTGTTGGAAAACTGAAACAGGTATTGTACTGATAAAGAAGTTAAATCAACGTGGTCATGACAGTGGTATTCATTTAATATCAATACTTGAAAATTCCCTTCAGTTTTGCTTTGCTTCTCTCGATCTGCAACTCAGTTCCCTGTGCAATACCTCTGTAGAATGAAATAAAGGCATTTTCTCCTTGCAGTATCATGAGGAACAAGGGAAGTGATGCAATGAAAAATCTGAGAACTGCATGCACATCTCTCACAGACATGCATCATGCACAGGGCAAAGGAAAAACCCAACAGTGAAAACGCATGGGGAGGAGATGGGAATAAATCTAAAGTTGTACTGTACCACGCTTTATCACAGAAGTAATGGACTAACTTCTCAACTCCTTGCCAATGGCATAATGGGAAAGCAGAGACAAGAAAAAGACAAGGACAATGATGTCAGAGGACCAAGACAAAACAATGAGCAATTGCCATGACAGAACTGCAACTTTTCACCATTTCAATTGCAATTACCAGGTCCCCCCTCGGTTTTTAATCCTCCTTCAAGAAACAAAGGTAGCAATAGTGTTTAAGTAATGCAGTACAAATAATACTTATAGCAAGACCTGCATGGAATATCTTTGCTCTTATAACTTCAAGTTCTTTAACACAGTTAATCTCTTACACTCCAAATACTGTAACTAGAACTTGTGTGTATCCTTACAACTGTACACATCAGAAATATTTGCATCCATGCACATACATGTTAGATACCTAACAATGAACAACAATGTCATAAAAACACTGCATTACATCCTTGGATCATGTTGCCCATACTGTCAATAACTCCTCTTTCTACCAACTCACAAGTTGGAAGAGACTCCCAGTTCCCATGGTTTCTTTTTGGAGAGGGGCAGGGCAAAAGGGACACAAACAGAGCTACATAATTTTTTCATTTCCTCATCAGTTCTGACATCCCTCATCTCACTGTTTTGGCACAGGATAAGCTGTCATTTCAAAGGCCTGTGCAGACACAGCCCTACTGTAGGGCTGCATTGGAAAGCTCTCATTTTCTACCTTTGGAAAACGTCAAGATTTCACACCTTAAATCTGTAGCATTTGCCAATACCTTAATTTTCAATTTTGTTTTTCCTCTCTCTTTTATGTAGCTACATTATATGTGTAGTTCAACACTGTAAAATAGGATTCTGCAGTAAGGAGTACAGCTTCAAAGAATGATACAAAACAACCCTAATTTTTTTTTTAAATCACCACTCATCACAGCATGAGATTAGTAAAATAATCAGTATTATGTCAAAGCATATTTTTTTTCTGCGTAGTCTGTATAGAAATCCCAACTTAGAAAGACTTTCACAAAGAAAAATTACTCCAAGTAATATATAACTCCATCAAGGCAAGTATTTCATCCATAATTACAGACACATTTGCAACAGGCAGACAAATACGACCATATGCAAA